CTGGAGGAAAGATTAGCCTCTTTAATAAATGGTGTTGGAAAAACTGGATTTCAACTCATCAAAGATTAAAACTAGACCCCTATCTTTCACCATGCACTAAACTAAAATCCAAGTGGGTTAAAGATCTAAATATTAAAACAGAAACACTGAACTTACTGGAAGATAAGTTAGGTAGAACTTTTGAAGATAACGGCATAGGAAAAGACTTTATGAACAAATCCTTAGTAGCGTGCGAACTAGCACAAAGAAAAAACTGGGATCTCATCTTTTTAAAAAGCTTCTGCACTGTAAGAGAAATCACCAACAGAGCTAAGAGACAACATACAATGTGGGAAAAAAATTTTACCAGCTGTTCCTCAGACAAAGGTCTACTATAGAAGATATAAAAAATTAAAAAAAAAATCAGACCCCCCTAAATATAAAGACCCAATTCAAAAATAGGCATCTGAAATGAACAGACATTTTTCAGACAAAGGAAAAGTAGCAAATAATCATATGAAAAAATGTTCCACATTACTGGTCATTGGAGAGATGCAGATGAAAACAACACTGAGATTCCACCTCACCCCTGTAAGAATGGCTGCTATCAAGAAATCAACCAATAACAAATGCTGGCATGGTTGTGGGGAGAAAGGAACCCTTCTTCATTGTTGGTGGGAGTGCAGACTGGTGCAACCACTATGGAAATCAATATGGAGACAGCTCAAACAACTGAAATTAGATGTTCCATTTGACCCTGCTATTCCTCTGCTGGGTATCTTCCCAAATGAATTAAAAGAATCATACCGCAGTGATATATGTTCAACCATGTTTATAGAGGCACAGTTTGTAATAGCTAACATTTGGGAACAGCCCAAATGTCCATCAACTGGAGACTGGATAAAGATGTGTTTTTTAAAAAATAAAATGGAATACTACTTAGCCATAAATAATGATTTATAACTTTATTTTCTTCCTTCTTTGTCTCATTTGCTGGTTTCTCCTCTTCTACCCAACCTTTTAATATTTAAATGTTTCAGGTATCAGATTCTGGTTTCTTCCATAATTATAATCACTACTTAAATGGTCTCTGTCAAAAAAATCTTACTGATTTTACTTTCAAAATACATTCTGAGTTTGACTACTTTCGACTCCTTGTACTGCTTCAACTCTTATTTGAGCTGTCACCATCTGCAACAGCCTCCTGTCTGATTCTCTGTTTCTACCCCTTCCCACTATAATCTATTTTCAACACAGCAGTTTATGACATAGTGATTTTATTTTTATTTTTTTTAAAGGGCTTTTAAAATCTTTTTTGGTACCAGGAATTGAACTCAGGGCCTTGGGCTTGCCAGGCAGGTGCTGTGCTGCTGAGCTATATTCCTGGTCCCACAGTGATGATTTTAAAAAGCTTAATTAGACATAGTCACTTTTCTTCTAAGAAACAACAACAACAACAACAACAACAACAACAAAGCACCCTGTTAAGAATGGCTCCCTAGTTTCACTCAAAGTAAATGCCTAAGTATTTACAATGACCTACAAAGCATTGAAATGTCTCACTCATGCCTAACATTTACCTTTCCGACTTCATCTACTACTGCTTCTCCTCTGTCACTCCTGTTCTTTCCTCTGTTTTGCTTCTCTCCACCTAGCCTTACTGGCCTTCGTGTTACCCCTTGAACATATTAAGCACTCTGATGCCGCAGGGTATTTATGCTACCTCTGGATAATCCTCCTTTTCCCATACTACAGGACTGCTTTAAGTCTCAAATCTCAGTGAGGCTTTCCCTGACCACTCTAATATTGCAACCAACTCCTCCAATCCCCACTCCTCCATCTTTTGAGTGTGAAGAAGCAGGAAAATACAAGAAAAACTAAGGAGAAATAGCAACCAATTGAAACTGATCAAGAACTGACAAAGAGGCTGAAATTAGCAGGCGTAGACATTAAAAGCTATTATAATGTATTCTTGGATGTTCAATAATGTAAGTAAAATACTCTGGTTTCTCTTTAGAGCATATAAAAATGTAAGTAAAGTCATGGAAGATGTAAAAAAAGTTCTAGTCAAGTTTTCTCTAAAACATGTACAATGTCTGATATGGAAAACACACTGGATGGGAGTCATGCCAGAGTAGACACTCCAGGAAAAAAGACTAGTGTGCCGGGCGTGGTGGTGCATGCCTGTAATCTCAGCACTCAGGAGGCTGAGGCAGGAGGATTGCTATGAGTTTGAGACCAGCCTGAGCTACATAGTGAGTTCCAGGTCAGTCTCAACTACATAGTAAGGCCCTGTCTCAAAAAACCGAAAAAACAAAAATGAACAAAAAAATCTAGTGAACTTGAACACAAAGAAACAGCAACTACCTAAAATGAAATAGAGAGAAAAGGATTTTTTTTTTTTTAAATGGAAGAGTATCCATTGAGATGTGGGATGCTTTCAAACAGCTTAATATATATTTGACTATAATCTCCAAGAGAAAAATAGGATAGAAAAATTAAGAAAACAGTGGCTGAAATTTTTCTAAATTTGATTATAACCATACATGCATAGACCAAGAAGTTCTATGAATACCAAACAAAAGCACCATGAAGAGTATCACACAAAGGCACATTATAATCAAATTGTTAAAACCAATGATAAACAGAAAATCTTAAAAGCAAAGAAAAAGGTATAATATGTATACTGGAATAAAGAAAAAGTCAATCACAGATTTCTTCTCAGAAACATTGTAAATGAGAAGATAGTTGTGACTGTTAATCATGATATGTCAACTTGTTTGGATTAAGAAATGCCTAGCAGGTTAGTAAAGCACATTTTTGGGTGTGCCTGGGTGGCTGGTTCATGGAGGCATGAACTTGGTCCTGGCCCTTTCCTCTCTGGCACTGATCACTTGCTCTGCTTCTCAGCTGCCATAAACTTAGCATCTTTGCTCCATTATGCCCTTCCACCATGACATTTCTACCTTGGAGCTAGGTGATCATGGATTGGATATCCTAAAACAGAGACTACTTAAACTTCTTTAAATAGTAGGTGTCAGGTATTATGTCTCAGCAACAGGGACACAATACAACAGTGACACATCTTAACGTACAAATCAAAAGACTCAAAACAGTTAATCAAGAATTCTACACCTAGTGCAAATATCTTTCAAAAACAAAGATAGGGCTGAAGATACAGTTTAGTGAGAATGCTTGCTTAGCACATGCAAGGACCTGATTTTGATCCCCAGGACTGAAAAAAGAAAAGAAAGAAGAAGGAAAAAAAAAGAAAAGAGAGGAAAAAGGTAAAATAAGATTATTTTAGACATACAAAAACTGAATGATTCCATCACCTGAACTACGTAAAATATTAAAGAAAACGGTTCAGGAAAAATGAAAATGATCCTACATGAAAATATGTATCTAAACAAAAGGATACAGATAAACCATACATGCATACAAAAGAGTGTGGCAATGGCAACCATACTGGTCAATGTATTTTTTAAAAAATATTGAAATGTCTGTAAAAGATAATTGTTAAAAATAACACTATTGTATTTTACAAAATATATATGTTAAAATGTGACAGGAACATAAAGGCCAGGCAGAACGATTACTTTATTATTTTGAAATTCTTACATTAACATATGGAAACTGGTAAATACTATCTGAAGGTAGTCTATGTAAGCAAAAAGACTTGTACATGAATGTTCATAGCTACTTAGATGTAATAACTGGAAACTGCCACCAGCTCAAACATCTCTCAAGAGATGCACATACAGGCAAATTAGAATATATTCATTTAATACTACCTGCAGTAAAAAAATATTACTGTGTATGTTGACATATATGACAAAATGGATGAATCTCAATTTTATTCTGAAAGACCAAAAAAGAATACATACTATATGATTACATTTACATAAAATCCCAGAAGCTGTGAAATAATCTACAATGATGGAAAACAATGAAGTGGTTGCCTGGTGTACAAAGAAACTTGGAAGTGATGGGTATCTTGATTGTGGTGATGGTTTTATGCCCACTGTATGTTAAAACTTATCAAACCGTACATATTATATAGGTGAAATTTATCTATGTGAATTACTCTTCAATAAAACTGTTTAAAAAACAATTTTGGATTTAAATTTAGGTTAAGTACCAAAAAATATTTAGATACCTACAGTATTCTGGCTCCATAGAATAAAAATAAATAGGTATTTTAATCAAAAGCTAGAATTAACTGAACTTAATTTATTATTGACAAAAAAAGGATCACAGAGCAATTAATCAAATACTTTCTTCGTAGAGATAAATGAAAGAAGTTCCAGAGAGGTTTAGTGACTCAGCTTGAGGTCTTATATCTATAGCAAACACCTTACTAAATTGTAAGAGTCACAACAAGTGGCACAGTGTTTTTAGGCTACCACTGAACACCCAATACCTAAGCCACAGCAGGACTCAACAATATTCATTGTTTAATATTTTAAGGAAGGTAAAAAATAAAATAAACGGAAAGAAAATCTCTCTCACAACATGATATAAGCTCCCCTAATCATTAGTTAGTATCTTTAACACAGATGAATTAAGCAGTACTATTAACACAAGTGCTGTAAGATAAATTACATTCCTTATTTTTAGCTTACTGGAGAGTTTATTAAAGTCCAGTACTTAAAATTTCTAACTCATATTACAAACTCATTCATTCATTCATTCATTCATTCATTTATTTATTTATTTACTAATTAATCTTCTTTCCATTCTTTTCATTTATTTATTTATTTATTTATTTATTTATTTATTTATTGAGACAGGGTCTCACTATGTAGTTGAGATTGACCTGGAACTCACTATGTAGCCCAGGCTGGTCTTGAACTCACAGCGATGCTCCTGCAACAGCCTCCTGAGTGCTGGGATTACAGGTGTGCACCACCACACCCGGCCACATTACAAACTCTTAAGCAGAAAAATTAATAGGAAATTCTTTATTCATGCAGATCAGTGATTTTTTGAATTAAGAAAAATTAAAAGAAAAAGCTTACCAAAAATTTCCCCATTTTTGGCATATTCTGTCACAAGGTACAACATACTCTTGGTCTCCATTACCTATGAATAAATAATTCCAAATTAGTCTGACAAGAAGGAATGCAATTTCCCACATTTTATGGGTTTATCTAAATTAAAACTATTAAAAAAAAGAATCAGAGTAATGAATAATTTGGAACCTAGTAAAGTTTATAAGTCCTTCTGTTAGTATTTTTATGAAAAATCTAGGCCCTTGCTCTTCTAAGTACAGTTCATCAGCTAGAAGTAGCAGGCACCTGTTAGAAATGCAGACTCTCAGGGGTGAAGATTTAGCTCAGTGGTTCTGCTGTCTGCCTCAAAAGTACAAGGACCCAAGTTCAAGCCCTGGTACCAAAAAAAGGGGAAGAAATGCAGACTCTCAGGCTTCCCCTCAGACCTACTGAATTAGAATTTACATCTTAACAAAATCGTCAAGTAATTTTTACAGACATTAAAATTTGAGAAGTACTAATATAGATAACAAAAGTTTTGAAGATGAATTTTTCAATATCTCTTCACTTTTTTTTTTTTTGTACCAGGATTGAACTCAGGACCTTACATTTGTGAAGCAAGCGGAAGAATCACTGAGCTAAATCCCCACCCTTCACTGAATTTTTGAATTTGTGTTATCATGGTACCTCTAATTAGAGAGAGAGTAATAAAACAGAAGAACTTCATTTATCTGTTCTACAGCTGACCTAATCTAATACAATGTGATATTCTTCCTACTAAAATATTGATACAAAATATAAGAATTTTAAAACATTGTTTCAAAACTTCATCTTCATAGCTCCACTGCTAAATACTTTCACTGAAATTAGTTTTCTAGATTCAGAAAGTAAGTATGGGATTGCCACCACTTTGATTTTTTTCAAACTCTGTAGAAGAAATGGCTAATCAGAAAATTCATTTTAAAATTCAAGACAAGTACCTTCTGTAACACTCTTTTGTCATTATTGAATGACAAACACTAATTTTGCTCTAAAATGTAGGTTTAGGACTATTCCCCACCAGCTGAAAAAACTGAGATATCTGGAGTTTTGAACCAAGTCCAAGGACCCACGTTCTAACCCAAGCAGTAATTCAACTTTAATTGATTATTTAGTGTAAACAAAGACAGAATTATCAAGTAAATCATGGCAGTTTTATCCTCAGTTCAACTTATGATTTAATAAAAAATCAGAGACTTCTGGGCAGGGGATTTAGCTCAGTGGCACCCTGCCTGCCTCATAAGTGCAAACTTAAAAAAAAAAAAAAAAAAAAAAAAGAAAAAAAAAATCAGAGACTTCTAAGAATATGATTAGTTTCTAAAAAGTATCTTCTTCAGTAATTAAAAAAAAGATTAATAAATAAAATTTGACCCCTAGTTTTAGGAAATGTTTTGGATCGCACACTATAGTCTCTCAATTTAACAAGGCATATCATAAGCCAATAGTGTACAATCATTTTTTAATGCAAATTTCCATCCATAAAAATTGTTTAAAGATATATATGTATATATATATGTATAAACACACATACAAGTATTTATGTTTATATACACATAGACACAAATATACAATGAGTACACTCTGTATGTTATGAAATGCACACAAGTGGACACAATAATAACAGCTAGAAGATGTAATTTTTTTTATTACACTCCAAGAATATTTGTCCTATTTGAGTACATAGTAGTGTGATAGTAAATCAGATCTCTCAGAACAAAAGGCCCTAATTTGTAAGCCAGTTTCTGTGGTATAATTACTTTCCTTATTGCTGATTTTGATCATGATGTTTATCATCTCACAAAACTTTTGAAAATTTAATAGCCAGTGTTATAAACCAGAAGAGACTGAGTCCAGCATACCATACATATCATACTTTGGGGATCAAAGTCATAGGCCAGCATACTGACGCCTTTCAGTTTAGAAACAATTTCACAATTTAAAAATTCTACATATGAATGAATAGAAACTTTTAAAAAGTTTTATATTATTATTAAGCATGAAACACTCTTTAAAAATCTGAGAAAATGTTTAGCTCAGTGGTTCCACCACCTGCCTTGCAAGTGCAAGGACTCAAATTCAATCACCAGTACCAAAAAAAAAAAAAAAAAAAAAGTCTGAGTAAACAGCCAGTCACAGTGGTGTAGACCTGAAACCTCTGTAACTTGGGAGGCTAAGGAGGATTGAGAGTTCAAGGTAAGCCTGGGCAACACAGCAAGTTTGAGGCCAGCCTTTTCTATATAGCTTCCTACCTCAAGAAAACAAAAACAAAACCCCAGTGAAAATGTTTCTTTAAAAAAAAATGGCTATATTTGAAAGAAGCACATTTTATTTTATACAAATTATCTTAATAAAATCAATTTTAAAAAGATTTATTTTATCTGATGAAATAAGCCCCCCCTTAAAAAAAGATTTGGTTTTTTTGTATCACAAAGTATGACATTCTTTCTAAGTAACATAGTATTTCATGAAAAATAAACAATATGCTTTTTAAATAAGCAAAACTACCACATCCTCATTTGTTACAACTAAACCAGTTACTTAAAAGCAGTTTCTAGCAGTATATCACAGACACACAGTTGCAAACTTTTTTGGGGGGGCGGGTATGGGGATTGAACTCAAGAATTTGTGCTTGTGAGGCAGGCACTGGAACCACTGAGCTAAATCCCTGACCCTTAAAGAAATCTCTTTATGGGAAGGAAAGGGATATGGCATCTAAAGTATTTTTTCTTTTTTTATAACAGGGATTAAACTTAGGACTTTGTGCTTGAGAAAAGGCGCTGGCACAACTGAGCTAAATCCCCGGCCCTACAAACTTTTAAAATAAGTACCTAGCAGTTTGAGAGACAACTTAAAAATTAAGCTACCAGTTAGCCTTCGATTTTCAAATTTTTTATTTAAATACATAAAAATGGATATACTTAGCTAATATTTATCCTTTCAGACATTAGAAAAACATAAAAGGAAAAATCATGATGCAAAATAAAAAACAATATGAAAAGAGTAAGGATAAGCTGTACCTGATAAAGTTTGATTATGTGAGGGTGGTCTAACATTTTCATTATTTGTACCTCTCGGTAGATTTTCTCAAGGTTCACTGCATCCAGCTGAGATTTATCTATTATTTTTATCGCCACCTACATCCCAGAACACAAAGAAGTACAATTAGTATATAACAGTTAACATTTTCCAGTTACAAATCCATTTAATAAATGACATGAGACTTTGCCAGTTGGCCTCTACAACAACAGCTACTTTTTTGGGAGGGGAGGTACCCGGGACTGAACGTGGGACCTTGTGCTTGTGAGGCAGGTGGCAGCACCACAGAGCTAAATCCCTGGCCTGACAACAGCTACTTTTAATTCAGTGTTCATTCATTCATTTCTTCAACCAGTATCTCTTAAACTTCTATGTGTAAGTACTGTAGCTTTTGTTTGGCAGTACCTTTAGTACACCATGTAGAATAATTCTGCAAAGTTACATTATTAATAAAACATATTTCACCTTCAATACAACTATAATGTTTCTTTGTTCCATGTATAAACTGAAAAATTCTTTTCAGTTTCAGTTATCTCATTGTCGAAAACAAGTGATGACCTGCAAAATAGAAATTAAGCAGGCAAGTTCTGGAATATTACTTTTCTAGAAAAGTGATAGCTATATAGATATCTTTCTGTAAAAAAGTGAATTATAAAGTATTAAAACTCATGCATTTCAAAAATATCAATTGGATTAAATTTCATTTTAAAAATCAAAACACAAAACCTCATGCAATTATCCTACATTTTAACTTTCTAAAAGGAATGTGATTTCAGAAAAAGTGGCCTCATTCTGTCATCACTAAACAGAAACCCAAAAAGTTCCAAGGTTAATAATTTGAAGAAATTACATCTGAAGGTGAATGACTGGGTACTCAATAACCACACAATTTTTCATCCAACTAAAAAGAACTATTTTTTTTTAAATTAATAGATATTTGGGTGAAAATAAGGCAATCTGATTTAAATAAAATTTTCAGAGAATTGGAAACCCTTCACATTTAGTTCTAAGTTCTGGGTTCTAAAATGCACTTCACATTCTATTAAAATTCTAAATATCATTTAGCCCTATGTTGTTACAGGGTAACTTTTTTTCTCTTTTTGTGGTACTTGGAATTGAACCCAGTGCCTTTGCCTGAAACAGGGTCTTGCTATGTCACTAACTTGCCCAGGCTGGGACTGAACTTGTGATCCTCCTGCCTCAGCCTCTGAGAGTGCTGGGATTACAGGCATGGCACCCCACACCAAACTCAGGGTAACTTTTTATTTATTTTTTCCAGGGTAACTTTTAGTATCAGCTATTGTATGTGCCTTAATAGTTCAATACTCCTAAAAGGTATGCTAGAAAATAGGATTCTGCTTGTCACCTCACTCAGTTCCCTCAGTCTCCTGTTTACACAATTAGTTTTCTTTAGCTTATCTGTCTTTTGCTATTATCTCCTAAAGTCTACAGTAATGTTTATTTTTTCCCTTTTTCTATTTCTAACATGCTATACACAGCTTGCTTCTTATCCAAATTAACTGTAACCACAGAACAACCTAAGCTTCCCAGGGGAAATCGGATTACAATACATAATGTGTAAAATTAAATTAATTTCCTCAGAAGAAAAGAGGCAGTTCCTTTCTTAGGCAGCAAATGAATTCTGTGAATGCTGTTTTCATTGTTTGTTGTGTTTTATTATCATAATCAATAGAGTCTAGAAAGTTAATAGTGTTAAACTTTGTTAAATAAGTAGACTGATTAATACTGCACTTGCTATTAGAAGAATTACCACCTCAAGCCCAAAGACGTTTTAAAGAAACTTCCTCCTCCCAAAGAAGGGAAAGGAAAAAAATATGAGAAAAGGAAAAAATGAAAACAAAGTCTCTGTAAATAGGAAGGGATGAAGGGGTTGAAGGGAGGGCAGGGGAATGGGGAAAAAATAAGAACCAAGATATATCATGTAAGGGTACAAGTTCCCAATGATGATTGTAACTGTATGATATGTCTAAAATGTACCAATAAACTTAATGAAAAAAAAAAAAAGATTTCTTTCTCCCAATTAAGAGTATGGTAGGATCCAGTATTATCAGTTACTTTGGGCAACTCCAGGTGAAGAGATAAAAGGTAAGTGCATACTTGAATTTTCTCAATATTCCTTAGGAAGTTACCATCAAAGAAAAGGTCTTGTCCTATAATTTCTGGAGACTAGTGCCCCTACTTCAACAAAAAACTTATTATGAGATGGGTCAAATAATCTAAAAAATCGAGCCATAGAGAAAGGAATAATGTTTGTTCATTTAAAAACCCAGCACAATGTCCTTTGAAAATTTGTATTGTATATATCTTGAGTAGCATTTAACATTAAAGAAAAATGTTTGCATACAAAATACAAATTAAAGCAAAGTAATACTCAGAGATATCTCTTCTGCTGTAGTTTTTTTGAAACCTTGGCTTCAATAGTGAAAAACTAAAAAATACGTTACAAATATTAAAAATGAAAAACATCCAATTAAGTTTTAGTATTTAACTTTTCTTTAAAAATTTTCATGATAGTTCTCTCTTCAATTTTATCTTGAGCCACCAACTATGTATGCCCACAAATCTATATAATTATCACTTTGCCACTCTTTTTTGTAATTCTTCTATGAGAATTATGCTTCTATAAAGAAAAAGTGGAGCACGTGTTAGCATGCTCCTTATAATAGATGTAGCTTAACTGCTTTAACAAGTAGATCCAGAAAATGTAATAGTTCAAAATGATTCAAGCACAACATAAATTTATTTCTTGTTCATGTAGCAGAATCAGATGGATAAAGTTAGCAGGCATGAGGTTCAAAGAGGCTTTTCTATATTTAAATTGCAGCTTTCATACTTACTTTGAAAACTGTCTATATTATAGCCAAAAAAAAGTTTGGCAGGGTCCCAATAGGAGATTTTTATTGACCAGGCCTAGAAGTGATGTACATTATTTCTGACCATCCATCAGTTACAATGCAGTCACATGACCACAGCTAAATGAAAGGGAGGCACAGAAATAGTCCAGTTGTACGCCCAGAAAGAAGAGAGACAGTTTTAGTGGTCAGCTATGAGTCTTTGCCATACTCAATGGAGCTCTTTACCAAGAACTTCAGGAACTGTAACAATGATGATAACTTTCACAACAATATACTGCTTTTTAATTTTACAAGATGTTATTATATTTTATCTCATTTATTTCTCAATTCTGTCAAGTATATGGAAGAAGTACTACACCTACTGTTGATCAAAATGAGTTTTAAAAGGTGTCAGGAATTAGCATGTACAAGGGCCTGGGTTCAATCCTTAGCCCAATGTGCCCCCAAACCAAGACACAAAACCTACAAAGGTCCTAAAGGGAAAAACTTCAGGCCTTCTAAGTCCAAGTTCCATCTTTCTACATTTCAAAGAGTCTACTAGTCAAACATTAATGAGCAAATACTATATTTACAGCAACTACGATATGCCAGGAATTATGCTTGCGATAAAAAAAAAAAAAAGAGTAAGATCTGATTTCTGCTATCAGGGAATTTAATCAATTTCTGTGAACAAGATGAATTAACTTTTATTTTTAAAAATATTGGTATTTTGGGATTCCCCCAATTTACAGAAAGATTGTGTTCCAATAGTTCAATTTATTTATTTATTTCAGGCTTTTTTGAGACAGGATCTCCTTATGTAGTAGTTCAACTGGCCTTGAACTCACAATGTAGTACGGGCAAGCCTTGAATTCATGGTGATCCTCCTGCCTCAGCCTCCTGAGATCTGGGATTACAGGTGTGCACTGCCATGCCCAACTTTCAATAGTTCATTTTAAAGATAGGTATGAACTAAGATCTCTGAGAACTTACTCTATGCATTCCTTTTCCTACTTAGTTATGAACATAGTACCAACAACAAAATCTGCATGGTCACAAGAAAGTGAAGAGGGCTAAGAAAGTCTAAAAACTGAAGGATCTCTTTGTTATTGCTCATCTAACTTATTCAAATATCTAATTCTGAACTATACATATATTCTTAAAAACAATAAGGCAATACATTTTTATGGCAATAGAAAAATTAATTTCTTCTACTAGTAAAGAGAAGGAAGGTTTCCTCTCTAGTTTGGGAGGGGATACACTAGAATGATTAATATCACATAGTACTGCTAAAAATTCAACCTCAAGGGGCTTGATGGGGAGAATGAAATAAAATAAAATAATATTCAATCTCAGAAATATTCTGGAAAATGTGAATGAGAAACTATATTAGTACTATTGTGAACTAAAGTGTAATGAGATGGTCATTTGTATAGATTGCTAGTAGCAATATAAAAGAGGTTATAATTTTTCTGGAAAGTCATTTGGTGGTCTTTAATAAATACCTTAAAAATCATCTATTCCATTAAGCAAACCTGAGATGTCTACTTCTAAGAAATTATTTGAAAGAAACAGTCTGAAATGATGGCAAAGATTTTTGTGTAATATTACTTTTAGTACAAAAATAGAAATTGGGAAATAATTTCATAAATTATGGTTGTTTATATTATAAGTATTATAAAAATAGTTCTGTTTAGTAATGCAATACTTAAATTAAAAAATTAAATAGAAAAAATAAGAGTTGCAGAGTGGAAAAGGACCAGGAAAAACTAGATATAAATATGACAAACTTATCAGTGGGTAAAAGGATCATGGATCTATTTTCCTGCTTTACACTTCTTGGTACAATTTGTCTTCAATTATAAGCATTACTTTTCTAATTAAAAAAACAGAAAAATGAAAGTTGTTTATAATAACACTAACTTTTCTGCTAAGTTTCCTAGAATAGGCCTGTATAATTTTGATTCATGTATTAAGAAGATAATACATATAGAAAGCTTATGGAATGTTTAAAACAACAGATATGAGATCACAAGTATATAAAATACAAATTTGCAAGGACAAGCAATTAAATGTAAGCAGAAGTAAAAATTGTTACCCTGATGGATTAAAGACTGTTTTTCATTTTTCAAACTAAAATTTAATGGTAAGGTTGTCTTTATAATGTTAGTTTCATTTATCCAACTGAGAATTTATAAGATGATAAAAGAAATGATTACAAATAATTTCCTACCTATGGGCTG